ATGTGTACTGGGGAGCACTATGGGTCAAGGTTGTTAAAAAAATAATTCAACCGAGTAAATCTGAAGATCTAATTGACTTCATTAAGCAACTCATTGGGACGAATCCCATCTAGCAACTGGAAGGGTGCTATTAACAAAAGAAAGGATTACTTTTAGACCAGGACATCTTTTAATGGGAAGGGATTGGCAAGGGTTTTTATAGAAAACCCTTTCTATAGAGGGAGGGGGAGAATGTGGAGAGAGGGCCTTCTTGACAACTTTACTTTATTGGTGCTTGACCAGAAAATTCCAGACTGATTAAGATTACATTTCTGGGAGAGACTGAAACTTCAGTTAGATCAGGTATTAAATCTAGGTTTGATATCTGAGCTTTGAAGCACTGAATGATGCTATTTTGGACCTGTGGTTTTCTCTTTAACAAGGTGAAAAGAATTTGAGTCACTACCTAATCAATCCCATCAACTGCAGAGAACAGATGCCCGAGGAATCAGCAACATTTCCCCTTTCTATGTTTTGTTGCTCCTCACTGCCAAGCTCTTCATTGACCTTGAACCCATATGGCAGGCCATCCCCCTGGGGTACACCCAGAGGATGCTTAATATTTAAAAGATTGAACCCTCTTGCAAGCAATGACAACAGCTTTTCTTTCAATTCCCATTAATACTGCCCCCTGTTATTATTTACTGCAGTCTCTGGGTGTATGGTTAACGGGTGCAGTTTTCTATCCTCTTGCTTCATTAGAGTAACAGAGGCCCTGGAAACACTGGCACTTAATGATTTTCTTGCAGGCACTTAAAAGTCCCTTAGCCTCCAGGGTCCCAGGCTGCTGGGAGCGTCCTAGAGCTTGTCTTAGGGCGCGCGGGCGGCGGGGGTGGGTAGGATTAAACTGGTCCCTAAAATTGTGTGATCTATGCCCGGTTCTTCACCTTCCTCTTTCCGCTCTTTTCAGTCGGGGTTGGGGGGCGGCTAACCACGAAGACATAGTCGCAGACTTTTCTGAGGCAGCCTCCGTGGATGAAGGCACACGCAGGGCACCGGAAAGAAGAACGTGGGTCTATAAGCAGTACTGTGCCCGGCACACGCGCAGTGGGATTGAGAAGAGTACCCGTCGGAGTATGCACTTTACTGCCCTCGCCCGCGTGTTGATGGCGCGGGGAGGAAGTAGCGGGCGACTCTCACAGGGGGCGGGCTCGGCGTCGGTTACGTGGGGTGATTGGCTCTGCATAGGGGAGGGGGCCCACTTCCGCTGGACGCCGGAAGTGTTTTGCCGCCCCGGCCATGGATACAGTGGCACAGTAACGTCTGAGTTGTGAGCGTTGCAGGGGCGGCGGCCATGGAGGCCGTGCTGAACGAGCTGGTGTCTGTGGACGACCTGCTGGTGAGGCCTGGCCCCGAGGGAAGGCAAGGGGAGATTCGGGCAGGCGGGTCCTGAGGAGAGTCGGATATGGGGCCAAACACTACTCCAATCATCAGCTTTGCCTAGGGAAGCCGAACTACGGCTCCCAGCAGCCTTTGCAGCGTCCGGCTCCTGCCGAGAGGCTCCACTTGGCCCCAGAGACTAATGGGAGTTGTAGTTTCCTATGCGCCACCACGCCTCAGACTTGGCCTGGAGTCTGGCGTGGAAAAAACTAACGGGTTCTGGGTCCGTGCGATAGGAGGTCAGGGTGCGGATCTGTTTTAGCGTGCTCCTTCGGTGGCAGGGAACTAGCGACCACCATAAAGTTTCAAAATACTACTCATTGTATCCTGCACGGTGCTAAGTGCGTTGCAGGCGATATCTCAATCTTTGAGCTCTAGAAGGTAGGCACTATTTTAATTCCCGTTTTGCAGGTAAGAAAAGGCCCAGACCCAGCAGGGGGAAGCAGTCTCCACCGAGGGACTTCGTGGGCTGTTGAGCAGCTCTGACTGTTGAACAATGTGTTTACTGTTTAGCCATTCGGAGTCAGCTGCTCCGGGAGTGGTTCCTGGAGCCGCCACGAGGTGGCATCTCCTCTCGGTACCACTAGGGGTAGGGGAGCGAAGGGGGTACTGTCCAAGGACAGCCTGCCGACAGAAAGCTGAAAGCCTGGGTCCCAGGGATGGTGATAGCAGAATCTGTGGTGCCAGGTGTCAAGACCCGCGAGGGAAATGTGGCAGAGACTGGGGAATATGGATTGTAACTGGGAAATGGGCACCCAGGTCCATCAGAGAATGGTTCGCCCCCTTCATTTCTAAATGACTGCTCTCCTCTCCTATGGCAGAAGTTTGAAAAGAAATTTCAGTCTGAGAAGGCAGCAGGCTCGGTGTCCAAGAGTACGCAGTTTGAGTATGCCTGGTGCTTGGTGCGAAGCAAGTACAACGATGACATCCGTAAAGGCATTGCACTGCTGGAGGGTGAGGCGCTAGGCTACCCGACTCTCCCCTTCCTAACTGCCATCAGGGTCTGTCCTTCTCTACTTCCCTTGGTCGTTCCCTCCCTCCACCTCAAGTGCTGGGATCCTTTTACCACATGGACTGTATAGTACAGTCACCTCACAGTTATTTTCCAGTAAGCTCACTGCAACAAAGGGCTGTACACATTAGCCTGGCTTCTCCCAGTGTACTTTTGGTTAATTACCACCTCATCATTGTTTTGCCAAATAAAATCAGAGCATGTCAGTTTCCACAGGACTTTGGTGGGCTAGCCATAAAGTGACTTATCTGTGGTCACACACCTAATTAATTAATGGCTGAATTGGGGACTAGAGGCTCCTGTCTTGTGTGTCCCAGTCCTGTGTCCTTGCCGTCCACCATAGTGCTTATTCAGCAGCTGCTGAAAACTTTTTATGAGGACGGCATGGAAGAAGTGCAGAAGACAGTTCCAAAAACCTATGAGCAAATGGTGCTTTTCTTATTGGACTCCTGTTTCCCATTGTTTTGGGATGGGTCACCATTTGTCAGAAGCCACAATATTTCACCTTTACATTTCTCTGTACCCCCTTTGTCATGTGTAAGCAAACAGTCAGTGTAGTAGCAAAGGACACCTATTCTAAATCTATAAAAACAAGAGTCTTAATGCAAATACTCTCATCCTACATTTGTCTAATTGGCCAATTCAGATTTTTCAGGTTTCCTTTATAGCTGTGTCCTGCTATAGAAGTAGTAGTCTAGGGTTGCCAGTATAGTTGAGACAATACAGACACTTGGGAAGATTTATATAAACACCTGCAAAACTACTTAGCAACAAATTCTAGTGCATAGAGTATAACTGAACACATAAGCCTCTGGGAAGTCACGGAATTAAGAAAAAGTCAGGTGAGGTCATTCAGGGAAGGCTAATTGAAGGTGAGTTTTGAGCTGACTTTTTAAAGGGAGAAGGAATACAAATTTATTTTTAACACTTATTTTGGGCAACAAGCAACTGTAATTGAAACACAACAGATGTCAAAATGAAATAAAGATGCCTTTGGGCTTCTCCAGTGCCTTGAGTTTCTTTCTGTTCACTTGGATGAACCAAGGTTGACTATAGTATTGGGTGTTGATCACCAGCCTGAGTTCACGCTGCCCCAGAGCTCTGACTGGGAAACCAAGTGTGACGAGCTGAAACGGAGGCTCAGGACAGTGACTTTCTCCTAGGATCATATAGGGATTCAAAGAGTGGAAAGTGTCTCTGGGACACGAGTACTAGGAAAAGAGAAGTGGTTTTCACACTGTCCTCTCCCCTCTGCAGAGCTGCTGCCCAAAGGGAGCAAAGAGGAGCAGCGGGACTATGTCTTCTACCTGGCAGTGGGAAACTACCGGCTGAAGGTAAGGCAGACACAACTTCCTTGTTCCCACTCCACCCTACTTGGTGGTCCGCAGCACCCTCTCCTTTGTCTCCTCCAGGGTAAAGCCTGAAGAAGGCAGTAGGCAGGGGGTGGTGTCAGGTACAGAGGTGCAAGGTGATAGCAGGTCAGGATGCTGAGGGAAGGTGAGAGACAGGATCAGAGTGCCGAGGGTGTGGGGGAAAGGTGACGTCAGGATTGGGGTGCAGCCCCAGGCCTGGGTTGTTATCTCCCCTAGCTTATCACCCCCACACAGTTGGGGATGTGGACTCTACTCCGTTGGGTGGGGCAGGAGTGAGGGATGGGGTGGAGGTAGAGGGAGGAGCCCCCAGGACAAGCAAAAGGAAGGCCCCCCTGAACAACAGGAGCAGTGCTGGAATACTGAGGGTGTGTGTATATGTTTTCCCTGAGCGTAGGAATATGAAAAGGCCTTAAAGTATGTGCGAGGGCTGCTGCAGACAGAGCCCCAGAACAACCAGGCCAAGGAACTGGAACGGCTCATTGACAAGGCTATGAAGAAAGGTGAATGCCTTCCCCTCTGCCTTCCTCCACTCCCAACCCTCCTGTCTCCCTGGCCCCATCATCCCCAGTTTACTCTTCTCCCTGCCCCCATGCCCGGGTGCTCTGGCCTCTCTAAGTGGCTCCCCTCTCAGCAATTCCTCCTCAAACCCCCGGAAGCCGCCTTTGTCCAACTCTGGAGTCTGTTACCCTGTGACTCTAGGTGGAGAGGCACATCTGTTGAGGAGCACTGGGCAGGGAGAAGATGGTAGCCAAGGTCCTGGGTGGCTGGGGCTGGACTCCTGCCTGACAGTCACCCTTTACCTCTCTCTCCAGATGGACTGGTGGGCATGGCCATTGTTGGAGGCATGGCCCTGGGTGTGGCAGGAATGGCTGGACTCATCGGATTTGCTGTATCCAAGTACAAATCCTGAACGATACTGCCCCTCTGCCTCTGCCCAGGGATACGTAGGAACCCGTGGAGGACACTTGGAGAGGCCCATCCATCCTCACTCTCCCTTCTCCTGAACCCCATCACTGTCCTCTATGTCTTCAACTTCCTCTCCCGTGAGACCTGTCCTTTAGCCCCAAATCATGTGCTTTGGGGTGAATGTAAATAAAATTGGGCTTTGGCTAAGGAACCTCTGTGTCTGTGTTGAGGAAGAGGTGGGTTCCCTTGAGCCCAGAAGTGGGGATAACACATGATTCTTTCTTGCTCTGTGTTCTCCCACTCCTACCCCTGACGCTGGTGTGGGGTTCTCCTTTGTCTGCCGAGCTGCCTAGACCCCACACCCTTCCTTCCTTCCCCAAAGCCACGTGGCCTTTGCACATCCCTAGAATCCTGGGGGAAAGCAGAGACCGGAGGTGGGAAGGGCAGAGCTAAGGGGACAGGCTGGGATTTATGTCTCCTGTCTCCTCTGACCCACTCAGCTGCCTCTCAGCGCGTGGTTTTCCACACCAGGGGGGCCCCCCACTCAGTTTCCTCCAAAACCTCCGCCCTTCCCCTCCCTTTGTCCTCCTGCGTCCTCCCCTTCCTCCTCCCCTAGCCTCCCTAGGGGAGGGGGCGCCGCTGGTGGGGGGAAGGAAACAGGTATTTGCCATGGAGTTGGCAGGGGTCTTGGGAGAGTTTAGGAACCCAAGACACCCCAGTTGTAGCCTCCGAGATGGAAGGTGGAGACCCAGTCCCCACCCAGCCCACTTTGCCCCACACCCCTTCGTGCCAGGCTCAGCATGGGCCTGTCTTGCTTCACCGCATACCTCTCATTCCACAGCCAAGCCAGCCCAGCTGGGGGACTGGGGAGGAGGCCCCTGAGGGGAGCACGGAGGAGCCTGACACGGGAAGTTGGGGAATGGGGGCTTATACTTCAGCTTAATGATGTCCCGTGTATTGCCTAGGAGTAGGATCAGCCCCTTGGAGACTGAGCTCCAGCTGCCCTTGCCAGAAGAGAACCAGGGCTTGTCCCACTGTGGCCTTGGGGCAGAAAATGAGACTATCTACTGCGGGTGGGACAGGTGCTCAGCCTTGGTTTGGGGTGGGGACCCAGAGGTTTCTAATCCATCATAATTAATAGAGCTGGTGACAGCTCTGATAACAGCTGCTTAGATTAGCCACAGGATCACCTGCGCCTATGATTTATCCCCCTCTGGGACCCTTGGCAGCAAGATCAAGCTTGTTGCTGAGGGTCAAAGATCAACCCACCAAGGGGAGGGTAATTCAAGTTCAGGAAGTTGAAGTTTGGAGGAAAGTAACACTTGATGGCCTCACACTGGGCATGTGGCACGGAGACCCAGGACAGTCACCAAGTATCAAGCAATTCATACATGGTGGGGAGCTTTGATCTGTGGTCACAATTCTTAATACAACCTATGAGGTGAGGAGTAGTAATTCTAGTTCACAGAAGTAGAAATGAGCTCATGGGGCTCAAACTTCATGCCTGTGTCACTTTGGTGAATAATGGAGTCTGGTTTGAATCTAGGTTAGTTGGATTCCAGAGCCATGGGTTTCCCCCACAGACCCCGGTCCCTCCAACTTTAATCTTTCTGGGAGACTGAATGCCCCAACCCCTGTCTTTGAGTTTCTCAAACTTTGCTCATCGACATCAAGAGGTGGCTTTGCTCCCTGTTCCTTCCCCGTTGAAGGCTGCGACGGCCTGTCCGTGGTCGTCCTCTGTCTTTTCTTGTCCCTCTTGTTTCTCTGGCCTCCAATGAAAGCTGAGTCAGAAACAGACGCTTCCCCTTGGCTCCCAGTGCCTCCCATGGGGGCCCCTCCTTGGCTGTATCCGTTAGTCACTCCCTAGTAAGTCCCCCCCCACCCTTGTGGGGCGGGGAGCCCAGGGCAGCCCGGAGGCAGTGGACTTTTGGCCCGTTTCGTTTATTCCCTCCATCTCCTCGTCAACATCTGCCGTGGGCTCTTGGTTCATTCCTTTGACCGACCTGCAGGAAAGCAGAGACCCAGAGAGAGGGAAGGCGGCAGAAGCCGGGAGACAGACCAGAGGCCAAGGCTACAGCTGGTCCTCTGCCCTTCCCCTCCCTCTCTCCCCACCCTGCCTTAACACCCCTCCTTAGCCTAAGCCCCTCGAAGTCCCCTGGGGCTCATCCCTCCCCCCATCTCCCCCCTCGGGGCCCCAGGCGGCCCTCAGGGCCTGTGTCCCACCATGTCAGTGGCTGTGGAGACTTTTGGCTTCTTCATAGCAGCCCTGGGGCTGCTGATGCTGGGAGTGACCCTGCCAAACAGCTACTGGCGAGTGTCCACTGTGCACGGGAACGTCATCACCACCAATACCATCTTCGAGAACCTCTGGCACAGCTGCGCGACCGACTCCCTGGGTGTCTACAACTGCTGGGAGTTCCCATCCATGCTGGCTCTCTCCGGTACAGGGTGGAGGGTGAAGGGAGCAGAGGGAGGCGGAAGGTTGGAGAGAGCCCCGGGAAGCACGGTGCCGCCTGTGGTCCGGCCTTGGGCACCGTACAGATAAGGGAGGACTGATTAAGCTCTGGGACCTGGGTTCCTGCAGCCAGCAGTGCTGGGGAAGCCCCCTGTCTGGAACTGTAGTGGCGACCTGGTCACACATGGCCCCCTGCCCTAATGGGACACTGTCTTAGTGGTTACAAGTGCAGGCACCGGAGTCAGACTGCCAGGTCCAGTGCCTGCTGTTTCCTAGCTCTGCACCTTGAGCAGAGGATAAAATGAGCTTCATTTGACCCGTCTGTAAAATTAGGGGCATAATAGCACCACTCCCAGGGTGGTCGTGGGGATTATATGAAATAAAAGGTGCAAAATGTTAATATGATGTTAGCATCTATATGCACTCAAACGATTTCAACATTTTAGTTTTGGGGTGGGAAGGCTGTGGTTTGTGGGGTGAAGAGGCCCCATCTTGGATTCTTGAGGGTTGAGACAATCTCAGTAGCGCCACTCATGGCACCACTGCCATGGAGAATTCTAAAGGGCTGTTTTAAAGAGATCCTGAGCGTCGACTGTAAGTAGATGGGGGATATGCATGTGTGTTCGGGATTCTCAGGGCAGTGTATTTTTGTGGTTCTTGCTCAAGCAGGAACCTACAGCTCTTTTGCCCCAGGAAGGTTCTCCCTTGTGGCTGTAGCATCTTCCTGCTTGCTGTTCACCCTAGAAGTAGCCCCCATCATCCCCCAGGGGAGTCTCGCTTCAGTCGGCCCCCTGCCAGAGACCATGAGGGGATGACCAGGAGTCCTCTGCGGTGCTGCTCCTGCACCCGCACCCGTGGCCTCACCGCACCATCGCAGGGTCCTCCTGGAGCCATCTTGCTCTTCAGGTCCCCTTCTGCAGGTGCCGGGGGTAGGAGAAGTAACTGAGGTCAACACTGGGTTTAGAGCAGGGCTCCACAAGATCCCCTAGGAATGTCAAAGATGCTCTGAGCAGTTAGGGGGTCAGGGTGGGTCTCATGCCCCCACTATTCCCAGAATCTCCTGAGGCAGCCACAGGGGCTTCATGCTTTCATCCCTCTCTCCAGGACTTACAAGGCAAGTGCCTCTCAAAAACCCTGTAAAAGCTGAGTATGAACTGGGCCAGAGGCCCAGAATGCTGGGTGGCTAGAAGGGACATTGCAGGCAGTCAGCTCAGCAGCCCCAGCCATCCCAACCTCACTTACCGTTCAATCACACCGTGGTTGGGAGAGGCCTTTGCTGTGAGCCTGTCCACCTGAGAGGGGCCCCTCTTGGAACTGCTGCTGTTGACCTGAGAGAGGACATGAGTGTACATGAAAGATGGAGGGGCAAAAGCAGGTTTGGGGGAAGGGCAGGGTGCAGCTACCCAGCGTTGAGGGGCACCTGGGTCCCAGGTGTGGTGCTAGGTACTTCACAGACACCGTTTCAGGGTTGTTGACAACAGCCCTGCTGTCGGGGACATTAGTAACCTCATTTTACAGAAGCTGGAGAACTGCAGGGATAAGCGTCAACCTGCCCACCCACACAGGTGGTAGAGGGGTCGGAATCCTGACTCATGGGTGGCTGAGTCCTGAGCTGGCTGACCTCCAAGGCGGGTTATGATCCTGAGTGGGGTCCTGACTGTCACTAAGTAACCTCCCAGCTGTGTATCCCCCACCCCCCAGCCACACAGTTTGTGCTAATCTCCCTCTATAATCACCCTTTGTCTACCAGATCTGTTGTGCCCCAAGTGGAGATGGGTGATGGATGGGTGGGGAGAAGATATGGGGTTGGGGGGAGGGTGGGAACTCTGGAGGGAGTGGCTGGGAGTGAGAAAATGCTCCCAGAGAACTTTGTTCCTCCTCCCTACCTCCCAACTCCTGGCCACTTCACATCCTCTTGGCAGGGACCCAGCCTTTCCTCTTCAGCACTGATGGCACTGCCCCACCCGGGAAAGGGGTGCAAGGTCCTTGGAGTGCTTGGCAACTATCAAAGACAGAGGGGGGGAAGGGGGTCAGGAAGGGAGCCAGCATTTCCTTCAACTTTGAGAAAGGGGAAACTGAGGCACTGAAAGCCTGTGTGCAAGGCTGACTGGCATTGTCCTGGTCCCAGGTATCCCACCTCTCAGATCAGTAATGGCCCTGGATCTAGTGACGCATAGGCCACTGCTGTCCCCTACCGGTTGGTCACTCTCAGTTCAGAATGTCCCACATTGTGTTAGGCACTCGGTGGGACCTGGAGAGAAGCAGGTGTGGAGAAGGGGCTGGGGGTGCTCAGGTGTGGTTTCTGTAAAACACTGCAGAGCATGATGGTGCTCTAACAGAGCCGTGGCTCTCAACCAGGCAATTTTGCCCCCTAGGGATCATTTGACAGTCTACACATTTTTTATTTTCCCCACTTTGGGAGATTACTACTGACATCTAGTGGTGGAGGCCAAGGATGCTGCTAAACATCCTACAATACATGGGATAGCCCCCCCCCCCCCCCCCCCCCCCCCCCGCAGAACAAAGCATTATCTGGTCACTGTGTCAGTAGTGCCAAGGAGAGACCCTATAATGGGGGTATAGGTGCAGTGCACTGATGCAGATGGCGGGGATGGAGGGGCTGAGACTCCTTGCGACTGAGGTGAGCTCCTGGAAAGGAGAGGTATGTGACCCCTGTCTGTAGGCTGGATGGCCCTGAAGGGGAAGGAGGGGATCTGAGGACTTCTAGGGACTGAGACCTGAGCAGGAGTTTGAGGGGCTGGTTGTTGTAAAAGGGAGAGGAGATGGAGGGGGAAGGGGCTCCCTCAGGGACTCATGGCTGCACCCCACCTCCCTAGGGTACATCCAGGCCTGCCGGGCACTCATGATCACTGCCATCCTCCTGGGCTTCCTGGGCCTGTTCCTGGGCACGGTGGGGCTGCGCTGCACAAACATTGGGGGCATGGTTCTCTCCAGGAAAGCCAAGCTGGCTGCCACCGCAGGGGCCCTACACATACTGGCTGGTAATTGCAGGAAGGTGATGGGTGGGCCCCGTGCTGCTTTAGGGGGCAAGGGGTGGCCCTCAGCAACAGACCCTGGGGTTCTTTGTCATCTCCAGCTCCCACTTATGGCGCTTGCCTCACCTTTCCCTTTGCATTGACACCTGCCTTCCCGGGTTCAGTTCTTCCCTCTTTCCCTGCTAACCCCAGCTTCACCTACAACTCACCAAATCCCTTGGCTATAAATCAGTCCATCAGCAATGTTTCTTGAGCCCCCATAGGAGCCAGGCATGAGCGAGGTGTTGGGGACTCCAAAGGTGAGAGTGAGTGAGGGTCTGCCCTCCAGAACTTACAGCCTGGCCGGGAAGACCAGAGTCACACACATACACACTGCACAAAAACTATACTGTACACCTGGCCATCCCTTTTCAGTTTGTAAAACACCCACACACATCATCTCACAAGTGAGGTGGGAAGGGTCTTGTCCTGTTCTCCAGGTGTGGAAACTTGCTGGAGGACAAGCCCTCACGAGTGGCAAGGCTGGTCATGTAGTTCAGGGGTCTCACTGGCTTCAGGCCTTCACTGCACTGAGTGGCAAAGGCATGTTACAGGTTCTGAGGGCTTTGGGAGGCCAAAGGACAGGAGTCTCGGGAAAGGCAGGGCTGGTTGTGGAAGACAGCTGGGCTTTTGAGAATGGATGGAGCACAGTCCGAGTGAGGAAACTAAATAATCAAGGAGCTAGAGGGCAGGGATGAACAAGGTAGGGCAGGGGAAAAGAAGGGGGCAAGGGCGAGCTGAGGAGCAGAGTGTGGGAGACTAGACAAGACAGGTTGCCTGGGGTTGGGTCCTGGTGCTCCATCCAGAGGCTTACAGTTGACCCTAGGAAACAGAAGGATCATGAGCTAGGGAGGAGGAAGAAAGGGAGGGAATGAAACTTGCTCTTGGACTTGATACCCCACATCCTACTCTCTGGGCTGCCCCTGCCTGGCCTTCCCCAAGTTTCCTAAGGGTCTAGGGTGCTAGTGCAGTTCTCTCCCTCCCTGCCCCAGGTTGCTGCGGAATGGTGGCCATCACCTGGTATGCCTTCAACATCACCAAGGACTTTTTCGACCCCTTGTATCCCGGAACCAAGTGAGTGTGGGAGCCCCACACTCCGGGGCAGTGAGTGGGACTCGGCTCCGTCCTGGAGCTAGCACTGCCTCGCATTGTCTTTGTCCTCAGGTATGAGCTGGGCCCCGCGCTCTACCTGGGCTGGAGTGCCTCCCTGCTGGCCATCCTGGGCGGTATCTGCCTATGCTCCAACTGCTTCTGTGGTCCCGATGACGACCCCGCCGCCAGGTAATGGAGGACAAGAGGTGCAGGGTGGGGGGCGGCGAGGGCCGCACCTCTCTCTGACCCAGGCCCCTTCCCCCGCCAGCACCTCGCTGCCCTACAAGGCCTCTGCACTGCGGTCAGCTGGCCTTGCTGCCCGCTTGCCTCCCGCAGCCTCGGATGAAGAAGCCGACAGCAGCTTCGGCAAATACGGGAAAAACGCTTACGTGTAGGAGGCCTGACCTGTGGACCCCATTCCTTTCCCACTGCCCCCAGTGGACAGGGGTTCCCGGAACCCCAGGCTGCAGGGGTAGACCCCTGCTTTGGTGTTACAACCTCAGGGGCAAGCCACGCCCCAGGGGCAAGCCACACCCACAGGTTCCACCCTGGTCTTGGAAGCCAGGCCCCTCCTCTCCAGTTCCAACTCCGCCCTGGCTGCACCTCCTTCGTCTGGCCAAGAACCCACCTTCTGAGAACTCACTTCTGGCTCCAGCGGCTGGACCGACCCTCTGGGTGGGTAAGGGGTCGGAGGCGTCCCGGAGTGTTAGCATTCTATATAAATACGTGCATAAATAAATTTATATTGTGAACTGTTCACTGTCTGAGAGTGTCTGGTCAAGCAAGGGGTGACTGGGGTCATCTCAGTTCTCAAACCCCAGACTGTCACTTGTCTTCTCCATGGCCTTTGGACTGTGTCATCCAGCAAAACAGAGGCAGGGTTGCAAGTGATTTCAAGAGTGTGGCAGTCTTCTAATCACTGATAAGAGTCATCATGGAGCAGATCTTAGAAGATCCAGCTTTAGGAAACTGAAAATAGCAGAGATATCGCCTGACCAGCCTGAGATAACAAGTCACTTGTTTTACTCTTGACCTTTCTTTGCAGCTGTACAAGGGGACAGGTGGTGTAGAGCAGAGTTTCTTTTTTTTTTAAGATTTTATTGGGGAATCGGGGGAGGGGAACAGACAAGTTGCTGCCCTTTTGGTTCTTAAGCCTACTTGTGGAGGACGTCACTTCACTGGTCCATGTTGGTATTATCATTGCGCTCTTCGCTGGCCATTGGAGCTCAAGAAAGCTCATGCCCGCTGCCAGCCGGCCCCACTGCAGCCTACACTGTCGCCGGCGACTCACGGCAGCCCAGCTCCAGGTCGAGCTGTTGTTCACCATCTTAGCTGCAGAGGGCGCAGCATCACTGGCACTCATGTGGGATCTGAACCGGGGTCCTGCTGCTCAGAGCTGGCATTCCAAGCCAACTCCTAACCAACGTGCCACTCGGCCGGCCCCAGAGTTTCTTTACCTGGGCCTGAGAGTGGATATCAGAAATTGACAAGTCCTTTGAAATTGTGTCAAATCAAGGGTCTGGTGCAGGTACATTTTTCTGGGGAAAGTTCAGTAACTTCCAGAAAAGGCTCTGAAGGTCTGTTTACAGAAGCTTGCGTATCAGTGGTGTGTGACTCTATGGTATCCAGCTCAGTCATAGCACTAGGTCATGGGCAGGGTTGGCACAGGCCCACTGGGTACTGAGCAGAGCTAGTACCCATGTAAGAAAAGAAAATGAAGCCATGAGAAAGAAGCCTGGCATCCAGTGGAAGGAGGTGATAGGGAGGGCCCCATCCTGGTACCTTCCCCTACGGCACTGACTGGTGACCAGTCACATGGGGTGGCCTGAGTGCTGACCTCCGCCCCTTCCTCTTTCCCATCTACTCACCTGCACTGAATCTCTCCTGAGATGTAACGACACTCACATCTACATTCCAACTGGACCCTCTCTCCCAAGCTTCAGAAGTGCATACACCCCCTGTGTGTTTCCACCAGGCTGGACTACTTCATTATTTTCCCCCAAAGCCACAGTTCCTGTCATTCCTATTACCAGCGCTGCCAACCTCTCAGACACACAGAAGGACAACCTCAGTCATCTGTGGCTTTTCTCTTTACTTCCCCTCCGCCACCCTCTCCCCTTAGCTGCCAAATCCTACCGATTCTCCCTCTACCATGTTTTCACATCCACCTACTTCTCTCCCTTCACTGCCTGGTCCTGGGTCAGGCCCTCATCCTCCCTTGTCAGGACTTGTCACAGGATTCCCCTAACTGAGCTTCTTGTCCATATTCCTCTACTGGGGCATCATTCATTGACCTTCCCTGGCAGCTCCCTCATGGCTCAGAAAACAAAACAAAGCCCAAGACAATTAAGACCTTGACATACTACCTGGCCCTAGCCCACCTTTCTTTCCCCACTTCTTACTATTCCTCTGTACAACTGTGCTCTCTCAGCAAGCTGGACTGCTCACTGGCCTTGGAAACACATTCAAATCAGAGCTTCCCACTGGGCTCCATCCAGAAACATTGGTGCTTTCTGAGCTATTCCCCACATAAAGGGTTCCATGGCCAAGAAGTCTGCAAATATCCTACCCCCTTCATATTCTGCTTTTGGACAGTTTGTGGATGTCCCATGGCTAAGCCCCCTGACGAAGTCCGAAGTCCATGTGGAAGGGACTGCACAGATCACAGACACTGGGAAGTGTGTTTCATGGCTCATGTACTTGCTTTGTTAGCAAACTAATAGTAGGTTTCTCTCTCAGGGTGAGACACATACCTTAAAAAAAAGTCTTACAATTCCAAAAGGCCATGAAAGTGTCACAGGCATGCCTGCGTCTTCCACAGTGAAGGACAAAAGCCAATTGCAACTCCTGATGCCACCCAGATACCTCCAACCCAAATTCTCCTTCTGCCCCACCCCATAGCTTCTACCTCCTTTCCCAAACTCCAGCCTGCCTCTTCTCATCCCTCTCCATTTTGGGAAAACTAACCTGAGCTAGGTCTCACATTCAAGCACTTAAATATGTGCTTTAATATGACCACTAGGTTAAGCATTTTTGTTTTTGTATTTAAATTGGGGGATTGGGAAAGGGGACCAGCCAAGTTGTTGTTCTTCAATCTTAGTTGTGGAGGGCGCCAGTCGCCATCTGGCTGCCCGTTGGCAGCTTGTGGCCACTAAGCTCAAGGTGCTGTGTTCAATCTTAGTTGCGGGTGGGCGCACCATCCCATGTGGGAGTTGAACCGGCAGCCTTGTTGTTAACAGCATATGTTGTATCCACTGAGCCATCCAGGTGGCAGCTCATCTCAAGGTGCTGAGTTCAGCCTTAGTTGAGGGCGGGCATAGCCCACCATCGAACAGGCAGTCTTAGGAGCATTAGGAGCACGTGCTTTCACCAGCTGAGCCATCCTGCCACCTGTTGGCAGCTTGGCAGCAGCTCAGCTTGGACACAGTGTTACTGGCCCATGTGGGAATCAAACCGGCGGCCCTGTTGCTCAGAGCTCACACTCTTAAGCTAACTCTTAACCAACTGAGCCACTTCACAGGCTCACTAGGTTAAGTTTTGATTTCTTTATCCATCAGCCATGGTCACAGGGCTCTAAAAGGCTATTGACACACTTATCCTTTTTAGCATTTATTTTCTTCTTTTCTAGAAGTTAGAACACCAAGACATGGCCCCTGCCCTCAAAAAAGTCAGACTAGGAGCAAAGAGAAAATGTAAACAGCTAGTTATCATGGAATGGGCAAGACGTTAGGGCTACTCCAAGAAATCCTCTAGTTTTTGAGGGAAATAACTGTGGAAAAAGCTCCACAAGAAAATGCTTTAGGTATTGGGCAATGAGGTCAACAGCTCTCATTTACTGAGTACTTCCCAGATGCCAGGCACTGGGCTAGATGCACTGTCTCATGTAATCTTCACAATATCTGGGAAGTAGCTACACAGAGTCAGAGAGGTAAATTACGTGTCCAAGCTACAAAATTGGTATGTAGTAGGACCAAGATTTGTCTAAGACTGAAGACACATGGCCTTTTTCCCAGAATCTTTGGCTCTTCAAACTAACTCACATCAATTAAATTCAGTGCTCATTGAGGTTTTTAGCTGTGAGCCCCCAAGTCTTTAGCCTTTCAGACCCTAGCATTAACCTTTTCTGCTCCCGTGTGCCCAGGAAGGGGCTGTGGTGCGCTCCATCATGACATTGACTCTAGCTTGTAGAAGCTTTTGGCATAGTGTAGATTTCTCAAAGGCCTGGGTGTCTCCCAAGATGGGGACCAAGTTGCCACTAGTACATGGGAAGTTGGCAAAAATTGTTCAAGGCTTTCCTTGAGGAGTTACAGTTTTAAGTGGGGGTCCAGAGATCCTTCCTAGAGAACGTTAATGGATGACTTGTGGAGACAATCAGCAACAAAGCAAGGGGAGGCCCCTGAGGCCTGGCTCTGTCTTATCAAGGTCATTTAGGGAGGGCCAAGTAGGTCAGAGCAGACAAATCTTACACCAAGCAGAACTCATGTGATTCTTTTTGTCACAACAAAATATTAAACAAAGTCAATGAATTTAGGAAATAAGCCAAAGAGATTGTGCTCAGTGGAAACTGGACAGGAACTCCAAGGCAGGTGGATCATAGTGAAGCACAGGTGGTGTTTCCCCCCAAGGAAATAATCTTTTCTTCTAGTTTCTTTCTTGAGTGTACTGCTTGGTGGAGAGGAAAATAGAAAGGTTAGGACTCAGGAAAAATTCCTTTCCTGAGAGAGACAATAAACCTAGACCAGGAGTTAGCAGCAAGCAAGTTGGATTCCTGATGTCCCAGTTACTATTGCTGCATAACAAACCAGCTCAAGACTCAATGGCATAAACCTTTTAATTATACACCTAGATTCTGAAGGTCAGGAATTTAGACAGGGCACAGCAGAGATGGCTTGTGTCTGCTCCACGATGTTGAGGACACAGCTAGAAAGACTCAAATGGCTGAGGGTGGCTTGGTGCCTGGGGGCTGGCGTCATCAGGAAGTATCTTCACTCCTATGATGGAAACCTGGGCTGGGATGGCTTGAAGGCTTGGTCAGCTGGACCTGTCAGAGGGAGCACCTGCACTGGCTTCTTGTGTAGTCTGAGCTTCCTCACAGCATGTTGCCTTCAGGACCGTTGGATTTCTTACATGGTGGCTAAGGACTCCAAAAGCAAGTGTCCTGGGGACAAGGCAGGAGCTTCCCTGCCTTTTATCACCTGGCCTTGAATGTCACATGGTCTCTCTTCTGCCACTTGCTACTGGTGAAAGTAGTCATAAGCCTGCCCAGATCCCAGATCCCAAGGGCACAAAGACCCCACGTTTGATGGAAGGATGGTCAAAAAATGTATAGCCATTTTTTAAAACCACGCTTAGGACTGTCTGTAAACTCTGTTCTCACCACCATTCAACACAAAGCTGTCACTAACACCGCTTGCCCAACTGCAAGTCTCCAGAGAAAGGACAAGCAGTTCCTCAGGAAGACACTGAGAACATTTGGGCCAGCCCCAAGAAAATCCCCAAAAGTGGGCGAAGAGCCTAAGAAGGTGCCTAACACTGACTTTGCCGGATATCATTAGTAACTTTTGAGGTCATTTGATCAGCAAATACTTTCTAAGCACGTACTTGGCTATATTCCAACAGGGTACTAGACAACTACCTCCAAGGAGCTTACTTGCTTACAGCTCACAACCCACTTAGAAAAGGGGTGGGTGTAAGAAGATCTAGTACTACAGAAGAGTTACAGCATCCAGGGCCACCAATAACAGGAGCCTCTATACCATGAATTCCCCCATGCTTTCCAGAAACTTCTGGGTTTTCTCTGCTAATAATTTCACATACCACAGCCTCTGATAACAAGAGCTTCCTCAGGACAACGGTTCCCTCAGAATGGTGGCACCAAAAATAAGAGCCCAATGAAAACAGGGCTGGCTCCTTCCACAGTATCATTCTGCACCCCTATCTCCAACCCTCATTCCACTTCCCTGTCACCAGTCCTGGGACCTAGCTGTACTTAAAAGATACTCAGAGGAACCAGAGAAACAAAAACCCAAAAACAAATGAACTAAATTAATAATGAAAAAAGTGACATAAAGAAGCAGCCAAGAAGTGTAAGGACATGAGGGTGGCGGGAGAATGCAACACAATCTTTCATGGTCAGGGATCCAGACAGACAGACAGTGGGAGAGGTGATTGACAGGTAGGAGGAAATGATACAGAGCAGTATGTAGGAGAAACAGGTGACCCATCACTCTCACCCCCAAAACATCATGTGACCTAACAGTCAGGTGCCTCCTCACATGAAACCTTCTATTACGATAGCACCCCGAGGGCTGGCCCACTTCCCTGCCACTTCCCTGGGAATCAGACTGAGTTTTGTTGGGTGAGTGAATAGCTCCTCTCTTGGTCCAGGGAGCACCTTTCCTTTTGGTGATATCTTCTCCGAGGCCAGGGTGATGCATGGAGAGCCTTCCTCTCTGGGGCTGCCGAGGATCACACTGTCCACTTCAGGCACCTGCAGGCATAGGCAGCCCAGGATGGGAGAGGGTCTGGGAGTCTATGGGGCTTAGGAGGAAGATGGTGGGGACCCGAAGGATGTTCCAAACTAACCTGGTCTCCTGGTGTGTGCCCAGACAGCGCACCGTGCAGTACCGGGCACCACAGCTGACACAGGTATACGGGGAGGGGAAGCCGCAGACAGCACAGAAGGGGCGCTGGGGCCGTGACGGTGGTCCCGCACAGGCTGTCAGGTAGTTGGGGCCCTCAGCCACACTCAGGTTCTGCAGAGACAAGGGAACAGACTCCAGGACTCCTCTGCCCACCCAAGTAGGAAACACCTGTCATGTGCAAGCACCTCTGCGGGCTCATCTCTTCCCTGTGGAATCCTCCCTGGCCAGCTCCCCTCTCACCTGCTCCTCCAGCAAGGCCTGGAAGTTTTTTCGGAAGCGAAGTTTAAAATGATCACCCCGGGTTTTTTTCTTTTTCTTTCCTAGAGGTCAAGAGCAATGAGTTACTTGGCATGTGCCAAGAAAGACACCATCTTCCTCTGCCCCATCATTCCCAATACTCTCGTGTCCATTCCCTGCCCACATACTCACCTAGGCCCTAGGTCAGCCTCTGTCTACCATCCTTTTCCCTTCCCTCCACTTCTCCAATCCAGCCTTCCTTTATCTCCACACTCCCTAAATCTAAGGCTTTATGCCAGAGCTGGAAAAGATCTCAGAGCTCATCTGCTCTATCTTCTTTATCCTACGTACACGAGAGGAAACTAAGGCACAGAAAGAGGAGAGCAGCTGGAGCAAAGTCACAGGAGCCAGTCCCTGGAAGAGCCAGAGGACCTCCTGGGTCATTGCCTCCCAGCCCGATGTCCTTCCACAACCCTGACCCAGGCAGACTCTCTCCCCTTCCTTCAGCTTGTCTCCCTGGCCCCGCTCCTCCCTTCCTCCTCCACCCGCCTCACCGGTGTCTGCATCATCATCAAATTGAGGCAGTCTCTTGCCAAGCTGGGGGAGTCCTGCGTGGGGGTCATCCTGGAAGTTGTCATTCTCCAAGGCCTCAAGCTGCCTGTTGATGCGGCGCTGCCGGGCCGCCCTGTCCAGCACCCGCCGCTGTCCAGGGTCCTGGGAGCGAACTAGGTAGGGCAGGACCAGAAGAGTTATGGGGGGCACAGAGAAGAGAGAAGCTGGTTCTGGGCAGTGTGTGAATGTCCATGGGGTGTGAAGCCACAGTTCTCTGATCTCATCCTAGTCACCAAGCCCTTGGCCCTTATACCTTCTACCAATACAGCAGCTCCCCCTTAACTGAGGTTTCACTTTCTGCAGTTTTAGTTACCTGCGATCTGAAAATATTAAATGGAAAATTCCAGAAATAAACAATTCATAAGTTTTAAATTGTGCATGTTCTGAATAGCATGATGAAATTAAATGCCTGCCTGCTCCATCCTGCCTGGGACTTGAATCATCCCTTTGTCCAAAGTATCCAGGCTGTCTACACTACCCACCCATTAACCACTTAGTAGCCATCTCAGTTATCAGATCAACTGTTGCAGCATCACAGTGCTTGTGCTCCAGTAACCCTTATTTTACTGAATACTGGCCCCAAAGTGCACGAGCGGTGATGCTGGCAATTCAGGTGTGCCAGAGAGAAGGCGTAAAATATATGCTTGTAAAGGAAAAAACATAGTATGTATATGGTTCAGTACTATCTGTGATTTCAGGCTCCACTGGGGGTCTTGGAACTTATCTCCTGTAAATAAGGGAGGACTGCAGTATATCAAGCCCTCTGGTTTGCTTCTTTCACAGCTTAGACTACCATTTCAGGCACTCATGCCTGTTTTCTATCCCTTTAGCCCTAGCCTTTCTTCCCAATCCAGATTCAACCAATGAAATGCCTCCTGCTGGCAGAAATCCCACAGCTGTGCTGACAGAGACGACTCTACCCTCAGGGCTCTCAGGCTCCACTGGGACCTTAATGCATTTGGCCCTCATGCTCAGCAATCTCATTTCCTGCTTCAAAGGAAACAGGCCACTGATAGGTACAGACATTCATCTTTCAGCCCACCCTCAATCATATTATAATTGCATGGGCACCCACCCTCCCCCCATTCAAAGTGGATGCACCCCCTCACACCAAGACCCACTGCTAATCCCGACTCTTCACCTCCAAGATGAGTCCTCCGCTCCCTCTTGTATCTTCAATCTCTCCTCCTCAACTGGTACTTTCCCGTCAGTGGAAAAACCTGCTAAACTCTCTCGTGTCTACTCAACTTCACTGCTACTCTTCTTTGACAGAGTGGTCCATGTGATATTTCATTTCCTCATCTCCCGTCTATTCCTCAACCCCCAGCAAACCGACTACATTTGATGGGAACCACCCACAATGGTGACCTCCTAGGGCCAAGTCCAGTGTGCATTTTACTTAAGTTCTCTACACTCTGGGTTGACTATCTCCCTCAGGTCAAAAAGTCCCTTCACCTACTTCCTTGACATGACTCCAGGTTTTACTTTCCCATATCTGACTTCTGTCTCCCACCTTGCTTTTTCTCTCTGCTTTGAATGAGATAGCTGTTCCTATTTTCTTAATCTATAAACTCTTCCTGAGATTTCTAATCCAAACACAGGGCTCTCTCACCCACAAGCAAATGACTCCAAACGTGATTCTCTCAGTCCAGAACCTTCTCCTTAGCTCCAAAACTGACTATTCAACTGGCTGCTGGAAATTACCTGCTGACCCCATTAATACTGCAACTCAAAATTAAAAATCTTCCCACCCAAGCCTGCTTCTCTTCCTGTAGACTTTCTTTAAGTAAATGGAACCATCTACATAGACATCCAAACCACAAACGTAGGAGTTACTCTAAGCCTATCTCTTCATTACCATACCAGCTGTTAACCAGACTCTAACAATTCTACACAAAATATCTCTCAATTCATTAAACAAATATTTATTGAGTGCCTATAACCATAATAATAACATCAGCACCAGTGGCTAACAGTTACTGGTCAGGTATTATGAGCCAGGCACTATACTAAGCCCTTTGCATAAATGGAATCCTTTAACCCTTACAAATGACCCTATGGGACAAGTATCATTATCATCCCCAGCTTACTGAAGTTCACATAGCTAGTAAATGGCTGGATCAGAATTCACACCCCAAACTGCCCAGGTTCAAAAAATATGCTCTTGGGGCCAGCCAAGTGGCTCAGTTGGTTAAGAGCACAAGCTCTGAACAAAAGGGTCGCAGGTTCGATTCTCACATAGGCCAGTGAGCTGCGCCAGAGCTGAGCTGCCACTGAGCTGCCAACAGGTGGCAGGATGGCTCAGCTGGTGAGAGCACGTGCTCCTAACAACAAGGTTGCCAGTTCGACTCCCACATGGGATGGTAGGCTACACCCACCTGCAACTAAGATTGAACAGGGCACCTTGAGCTGAGCGGCTGCAAGCTGCCGATGGGCAGCCAGATGGCGACTGGACTTGGAACTAAGCTAGCTGTGCCCTCCACAACTAAGACTGAAGGACAACAGCTTGGCTGTTCCCCTTTCCCAATTCCCCAATAAAATCTTAGAAAACAAAAAAACATGCTCTTGATCATTGCAATATACTGTCTCCCTTCCGAGTGCCAGGTGGTACCCTATGCTCTGGGAATACAACCAGGGCCTACAGTCTAGTGGGGAATACAAATAATCAAAGAAACAAGTATGGTACAGCATAGTATATGCTAGTACAGGGAAGTACAGAATGCCACAAAGCACATGACAGAAACACCTAGCCTGGCTTTGGGGTAGTCAGGAAGATTTTCCAGAGGAATATAAGTCCAAATTGAGGCCTGACTGATGAATGGTTAACCTGGTTGGGGGAGAGGGGAGGGTGTCTCAGGCCTTGGAGCCAGCCTGAGAGAAGGCCTGGATGGGAGGCTGTGGTGCCTTCAATAAATTAGAAGTTCTGTATGGCTGGTATATAAAGAATCTGTGTGAGGGAGCAGTGGGGGTGGGGATATGAAGTCAGACAGACCATTAAGAGTCTATCTTTTGGGGCACCCGGGTCGGGACCCCCTCTGGTTTTGAGAGCTGTAACTTTCTGCTCTAATAAAACTATCTTCTGCTGAAAAAAAAAAAAAAGGTGGGGTCTATCTTTTAAGTATCTAAAGGAATTTGGATTTGGAGATTTTATGGTGAGGGTAACAGAGATCCAGTGAGGGGTTTTAAGAAAGGAATGACATGGCTGGATTTATTACAAGTCAATCTGGAGATGTTCCCACCCTCATATCTTTTTATCTGGACTACTAATACCTAACTGGCCTTCCAGCCTCTACACCTGTGTTATACAATAAAGTAGCCACTAGTCACATGCGTTTATTTAAATTTCGATGTAAATGAATTAAGATGAAATAAAATGTAAAATTCAGTTCCTCGATTGCACTAGCATTTCAAGTACTCAATAGCCACATGTGGTTAAATGGCTGCCACACTGAGTAGCGCTGATTAACAACATTCCCATCATCCCAGAAAGTTCTACTGGACAGCGCTGCACTGGTCCCTCCAATCCATCCTCTGCATTGAAGCCAGAACTGCCTTTCTAAAAGATAAATTTGTTTCGGTCACTCCCGGGTCTTAAAAGCCCTTGATGGCTCTACACTGCCCTCAGAGTTTAAACACTTCTGCAGTATATATAATGCCTTTCAAGTGTCCCTTTCCCCAGCCCTCCAGCCTCCTTTACTATTTCCGCCAGTCCCTGAACTGTGAACTTGGCTTCCTTAGCGACTTGCTTTTTCTTGCATTTCTGCCTTTGCACGTGAGGTTCCCGATGCCGGGAATGAGTCCCGGCGCACCTGCACTGAGTGAAGCCTAACTTTCAAGACTCAAGCCAAGCGTCCTCTTCCCCTCCAAGCCTTCACGGTCCCCTCCTTCCCAGAAGCTGGGTTGAGTACCACTCCTCCCTGCGCCCAGGCGCTGTGTAACCCTCCGCCATAGTACGTATCACTCTGAAATGCAATGGTTGGTCTGCATGTCTGTCCCCCTCCCAGAAATCCAGTTCTAGGAAGATAAAGATCTTTTTTCCTTTCTCCATCCCCAGCGCCCGGCTTGCAGCAGGCATCAATAAAATGTGAATGGTTTGAAGGCTGCCCTGACGCCAGGACCCGAGAGCCGGGGAAGGGATCTGAGACTAACAACAGTGAGGAAATCCTGGGCGAGGTTCGGATTGAGAGGACGAAGGGGGCCAGCCCCCGGGGGCTCACATACCCGAAGTTTTCTTCTCCACCATTTCCACAACACAGCTGACGAAAGAGCCTATTACGCACGCGTACTAAATCACCTGCTTTGATAAAGGCATCATCACTTCCGGCGGTGTGTGCTATTTTGCGCATGCGCAGAATAATTCCAATGCTTTAACTCATTACCTGATGTTCCCTTGGAGACCAGAAAGCTTTCCGCCATATTTTATATGGGCAAAAGTACTTGCGGCCTTAGTGTAGCGGTGTATTTTGTGGGACCTCTGAAATGGGTTGTTTTAAAGAGGGGATGCCAGTGGTCTTTCGAGACACGTCATTTTCCTTTGGTCCTTCTTTAGATGCCGTCATTACAAAGGCAGTCCCTGGAGCTTTTCGCCGGGGCAGTAGAAAGATGATAGGCAAACTCTCAAAGAAAGTGGGCGGGCTTGAGTGGGCAATCCGAGAGAACCCTGGTGACTCGGTGCCGAAACTTCAACCCCTAGCTCCACCGGGGCCTCAGACGTCTCCGCCTTCTCCCTCCCTGCCGCCCGCTCCTCCACTCGTCCCCGCTCCGCGTGCCCCCAACCGCCTCGCTCTCCAGCCTTCCGCCCAGCCTCCTGGGCATGGCTGAGGCAAGGGCCCGCCTCCGCGTCCTGTCGGACCCGCAAGGAGTTACTTCCCGTCTCCGGGTTTCTGTTTCCTCCTGTGTCAGGCGGGCGGTGGGCTGGACTGGCTCTGACCAAAGTCCTCTGCTCGCGATCGCCAGCCGGAGCCCCCGCCCCTCTCCCGCCTCCAGTCCCGGAGCCCCCTCAGTTCGCTCCGCACAGCCCGCGCGCCGGCGCCTGAAGACAATCCTCGCCTTGTCTAGGGCGCCGGCATCTAGAGTTTTCTGTAACTCCGGCTACGCCTTTTTTCCAGGGCGGAGCCCCAACCCTACTCTTCCTCGCAGTGGTCCGCATAGCAGCCCCAGTCCCGTTTCCAAAGTCCCGCTCGGTAGCTGGGATCCAGGCGCGGGCCTGTGTGCTGTCTCGGCCCGCTTCCAGCCATGGCCTCCTGGAGCCCGGGACTCCGGCTCCTGCTGCTACTGCTGCTGCTGCCGCCGCCACCTCCTGCGGACTCGGCCTCCGACCGTCCCCGGGGCGGCAACCCTGTCAACCCAGGTGAGACCCCCGGGTGGGCCAAGTGGAATCCGGGATGACGTTATGCCATCAGGGGCTTGGAGCGGGCAGCCAGCCTCTCCCACGCCCAGCGCGCTCCTTGGGCCTGAACCCGTTCACTCCCCACTCTGAACTAAGGTTTCCAGTCTCTCCGTGCGAATTGACCCCGAATTCCTGGGTGTAACTCTATCCCGTTGTCACTGGGAGCCAAGTTTCCCCGGGGGAAGAGTTTAAGAGGGAATGGGAAAAAAGTAAGGGACAGTAGCAGAGTTTGAGGGAGGGGGAGGGGGGCCTACGTGAGTGGAGCGCGTGGGGCAGTGAGCTGGATGAGTGGGTCTCGAATGCCAATTCCCGACTGGTGACAGAGAAGCTGCTGGTGATCACCGTGGCCACAGCCGAGACGGAGGGATACCGGCGTTTCCTGCGCTCGGCGGAGTTCTTCAATTACACAGTGCGGGTGAGGAGAGGAATGCGCTCAAGGCTGCTAGGAGGGGCGTGATTCCAGCTGGAGGAGTGGGCTGAGGGCTGGATGCCTGGGACCCCACGGTGAGCCTGGCCAGCTGAATTCCCTCCCTGGCATGGCGGATCTCCCCCACAGACTCTGGGCCTGGGAGAGGAGTGGCGAGGGGGTGATGTGGCCCGAACAGTTGGTGGAGGACAGAAGGTCAGGTGGCTAAAGAAGGAAATGGAGAAACATGCGGACCAGGAGGATATGGTCATCATGTTTGTGGACAGGTAAAGGCGAGAAAGCAGAGAGGTGAACAGGAGGAGGGGGTGAGGATACTGAGATTCGTAGTAGCTGTCCTGTTCATCCTCCCCTTCCTTGCCAGCTATGATGTGATTCTGGCTGGCAGCCCCGCAGAGCTGCTGAAGAAGTTCATCCAAAGTGGCAGCCACCTGCTGTTCTCAGCAGAGGGCTTCTGCTGGCCCGAGTGGGGGCTGGCAGAGCAGTACCCTGAGGTGGGCACGGGGAAGCGCTTCCTCAACTCTGGTGGTGAGTGGCAGAGTGCCCGAGGCAGAGAGGCCAAGAGTGGTGGGGTATGGAGTATTCCAGGTGCCTGGGGGCCAGAGAGGGAGTGGGGACAGGTTCATGGGACCCCGGGAGTCTTGGAGTCAGCACTTCCCCTCCCCCGACAGGGTTCATCGGCTTTGCCCCCACCATACACCAAATTGTCCGACAGTGGAAGTACAAGGATGACGATGATGATCAATTGTTCTACACTCGACTCTACCTGGACCCAGGATTGAGGGTAGGGGGGACAGAGGTGGGGCCACCTGCTGCTCTGTGGGGGTGGCAGACCTCAGGCTGAATGGGAGAGAAGGGGTAAAGGGGCTTTGGGGAAGATGTAAAGAGAAAAGAGTGAGAAATGATGTCCCACCCCCTCTTGAATTAACTGCCGCCTCTCATCCCATCCAGGAGAAACTCAGCCTTAATCTGGATCATAAATCCAGAATCTTTCAGAACCTCAACGGGGCATTAGGTGAGAAGAAAGGCAACCAGAAGGGGTAATGAAAGGGGCTGCTGGGGTCCTGAATTAGGGAGGGGCTCCTGGTGGGACTGGGGTGGTCTTCAACTTACCTTTATCTCAACTTCAGATATCAAATATCTGAATGGCTGGTAGATAAAGTTGCACCGTGCTAACAGTAGTAAAAGCAGTGGCAGTCATACCCAACATCTATGGAACATACTGTGTACCAGGGCCCTGGGCCCAGGGCTTTACTTCGTTAATTTCATTTAACACAACAGCCCTACAAAAGGGGTTGTCTGTGGTTATCCACCTGTTAACAGATGAGGAAATTGCCTCTCCAAGGGGCTGGTGCCTTGCCCAGGTCACACAGATAGTAAGTGGAGGAGCTCCCCAGGTGGCAGCAGAGAGCCTGGATTCCCCCATATTTAGAAGCACCTGCTGCTTGGCAGCTTCAAGAGGAAGGGAGTTTAAAGTCTGGCTTTCTTCCCCAGATGAGGTGGTTTTAAAGTTTGAGCAGAATCGTGTGCGTATCCGGAATGTGGCCTATGACACGCTTCCTGTAGTGGTCCATGGGAATGGTCCCACTAAGGTGCCCCAATGGCTCATACCCTCAGCCCTAGTCCCTTACCCCTATCCCAGCTGGCCCCACAGTCCCTGCCCTAGTCAGTCCTGACCCCAGCTCCTATCCTTACCCCAGACTGAGACCCAGTCCCTGGGTTCCCCCAGCCCTTCTGAGCAGCCGGTCCTCCTAGCCCCAGCAGCAGAGGTGCTAGGAGAGGTTCTAAGTGTCCACTGCTTTCCCTCCTGCCCTGTCCCTGTCTGTCTACCTGACCTCCAGCCCTGGACTCCTCTGCCTCAACCTCTCCTCGTCTCTCCTAACAGCTCCAGCTGAATTACCTGGGAAACTATGTTCCCAATGGCTGGACTCCTGAGGGAGGCTGTGGGTTCTGCGACTGGGACCGGAGGACACTCCCGGGGGGGCAGGTGAGGAGGGGTGCCAGGGTGGGGCAGGAGAACACACTGAAGCAAGAGGTGCAGGGAGAACATGCTAGGCAGCAATAGGAGGCAAAGCTCCTGAGGACCCCCCAAACCTAGCAGGGTTGTAGAGGACAGACCAGATGGGGCCCCAGGCTTTCCTCTGAGCCCTGTCATGCATCTTCCAGCCTCCCCCCCGGGTGCTTCTGGCTGTGTTTGTGGAGCAACCTACTCCGTTCCTGCCTCGCTTCCTGCAGCAGCTGATGCTCCTGGACTATCCCCCTGATAGGATCACCCTTTTCATGCATAACAATGTAAGATACCCTGGCAGCCTCTCCCTATGGGCCCTCCCAAGGGACCCTGCCCCTGCCCTGATCAGAACTCCCATCCCCCCACCCCAGACTGCTTCCTACACCCTGTCCACTCACCACCTTTCCCCTCCCATTCCTCAGGCACCATCCTTTCTGCTCTCTCAGCACTTGCCCATTTCCCCCCATCTGCAGGAGGTGTACCATGAGCCCCACATTGCAGACTCCTGGCCCCAGCTCCAGGACCACTTCTCAACTGTGAAGCTGGTGGGGCCAGAGGAGGCCCTGACCCCAGGCGAGGCCAGGGACATGGCCATGTGAGTGAGCCGTGGGCGGGGAGGACGGGTGAGGGTGCCTCCCAATACACCACCTTTCCCTTCCGTCCACCATCCAGCTTCTCTATGGCCTCCACAGTGCTGCCACCACAGGTGCTGTCCCTCTCCTGCCTCTCTCACACAGACTAGAGAACTTGGGGTCCTGGAGTGAGGGGAAGTTCCACCCACTCTGCAGTCCTCTCCTTCTCCTCTCCCTACCTGCTCCAGTTTCAACTCCTTTGTCTGTTGGTCTGCCACCTCTAGGGACAGTTGTCGGCAGGACCCTGAGTGTGAATTCTACTTCAGCCTGGACGCCGATGCCATCATTACCAACCCGCAGACCCTGCGCATCCTCATTGAACAGAACAGGTCATTTGCCTGGCTCAGCCAGAGGGCCCCACAGTAGTCCCCCAGAAGCCCCCAGCTGCTTCCCTGATAATAGGGCTCACCTTGTGCAATCATCACCTCACCTGTTCACAGGAAGGTCATAGCACCCATGCTGTCCCGCCACGGGAAGCTATGGTCCAATTTCTGGGGAGCCCTGAGCCCCGATGAGTACTACGCACGCTCCGAGGACTATGTGGAACTGGTGCAGCGGAAGCGAATGTGAGTCCTGCTGGAGCTGCAGCCCTCCACCTCCTCCCACATGGGCCTGAACAGACACACCTGCACCTTCACCCAAGGCCCCAGTTTCAGGGTTCTGATGTGTCTGTGGGACAGGGACTGACTGTGGAACTGGACATGAGAGGGTTATGACTGGCAGTGCATAACAGGGAAAGTGAGAGGGGCTCCTGGCTCAGAGAGTGGGATGCCCTGAGGGAAGGGGCTCCCAGGATGAACTGGGCAGAATCTTGGGGGCCACCCACCTAGCTGACCCTAGTGTGGATACCTCCAGGGGCGTGTGGAATGTGCCCTACATTTCCCAGGCATATGTGATCCGGGGGGAGACCTTGAGGACAGAGCTGCCCCAGAGGGAGGTGTTCTCAGGCAGCGACACTGACCCAGACATGGCCTTCTGTAAGAGCCTGCGGGACAAGGTGAGCAGGGCAGTCAGGCCCAATGCAGGGGTGCTAGGAGGCAGCCATCTCGTGTGTCCTTCTCACACCCTCCCCCCACTCCAGGGCATCTTCCTCCACCTCAGCAATCAGCATGAATTTGGCCATCTCCTGGCCACTTCCCGGTATGACACAGACCACCTGCACCCAGACCTCTGGCAGATCTTCGATAATCCCCTGGTAAATGGGGGGCCCCTTGCTCAGAATGCAAATGCCCTTCAATATAGGAGGATGAACAAGGGCACACATAAGCTTGCAGGATCTGCTATTAGTGGGAGGGGGGTGGTCCAGGGCCTGGGGCTTCCTGGATTGGACCAAATGAAGTGAAGAGGACATACATCAAGGTGCTCTCCCCTGTCCCCCCTTCTCCCCCAGGACTGGAAGGAGCAGTACATTCACGAGAACTATAGCCGGGCCCTTGAAGGGGAGGGATTCGTGGAACAGGTGAGCCCCACGCAGGACCCCTGACCACTCTGATGACCATTACCCGTTGGATCCACCACCTGAATTAGTGGTTTCCAAACTGACTTCCTCCAGATGCCTTAGGATTTTCTGCTCAGGCAAAATGAAGGCAAAGGCTGATAAGCCTTTCAGCTCACACCCTGAATTAGTCAGTGAGCCTCTTGTCTATTGGATATATTGGTATTATAGGCAAAATGACATTTTTGTAAAGTTTGAAAACCAGTCTCCCAGAACCGGGGCTGCAGGACCTTCTTGCCATTTGTTTTGTGTTCTTAGCCACTGTTTCTGGCCCAGCCTCTCCTGGCCCAGCCCACACTCAGATCCCCATTCCCCTAGCTTCTCCCATCTCCTGGTTTCCCTTTCTCTCCCTGCTTCTTCTCGCCTCTGTTGGCTGCCGATCCCTGAGTGTCACCCGGCTCTGTTATTCTTCCCCTGCCCTGTCCTCAGCCGTGCCCAGATGTGTACTGGTTCCCTCTGCTGTCAGACCAAATGTGTGATGAGCTAGTGGAGGAAATGGAGCATTACGGCCAGTGGTCAGGAGGCCGGCATGAGGTGAGAGGGGCTGGGACAGGAAGGACTGAGGGTACAAGAAGGAGGGAGGTGCTGGGTCTGATGGAGGGAAAATGGTATCAGGAGAGTGGGAACAGAGAGGACTCCCCAAGGGGGAGGGGGCCTCAGGAGGCACCTCTGCATTCATTTGTTTATTCATTCATTCAAGAAATCCTTACTGGGCAGGTCCTAAATGCCAGCCACTGACCTAGGCAGTGCAGGTACATCAATGGGTGTGCAGGCTGAGTCAGTAGCAGCAGCCCAGGTGACAAGGGAGCCACAGGAGGGACCTTTAGCCCAGATAAAGGAGGATTAAGGGGCTTCACAAAAGAGATGACATCTTAGCGGAGACTTAGGGCCCATAGGAGTAAGTCAAGCTGAGAAGTGGTTGAGACTGTTCCAGATGAAGGAACACTGGCTTTCAGGCCTGGGAGCAAGAGGAGAGGGAGGCTGGCACTGCCCTGTCAGGGGCTCAGTGCCCGCTGCCCACAGGACTCAAGGCTGGCTGGAGGCTACGAGAACGTGCCCACTGTGGATATCCACATGAAGCAGGTGGGCTATGAAGACCAGTGGCTGCAGCTGCTGAGGACGTATGTGGGACCCATGACTGAGAGGCTGTTCCCAGGCTACCACACCAAGGTGGGCCACTGCTTCTGCCACCCTGCCCCCTCCACCTTCCCACACCCCAATCCCAGCTGGAAGTCTCCACGCAGCACCCTTTCCCTTGCAGCTCCCTTTCCCTTGCAGCTCCTATAGCATTTGGGGCCCTGTGGAAAAAGATACTACAGGAGGGCAGCCCTGGGGGAGCCTGCTTGACCCCTGCAGACACTCTCCCTTCCTTGACAGGGGCTGTCACTTCCTTAGAAAGCCTCCTGCCCCTGCGGCCATCCCTCTAGCCTCTTTCCTCGTGTCCCCATAGACTCGGGCAGTGATGAACTTTGTAGTCCGCTACCGGCCAGATGAACAGCCCTCTCTGCGTCCACATCACGACTCATCCACCTTCACTCTTAACGTTGCCCTCAACCACAAGGGCCTGGATTATGAGGTGAGCTTCTGGCGCCCTACACACACACACACACACACACACACGCACACACGCACGCACGCACGCACGCACGCGCTTTCTCCTGAAACCCCGTATCCCTCCCCCTTACACCCTGCACACAGCCCTCAGTTGCCCTCCCTGCTCCCAGCCTGCCCTCTGCACATTTCCCAGTTATTGTGCTGATATACTTTCTGGGATCACTCCCAGGCTGGCTGCCTCCCTCTTCCTCTTGTGTCTCCCTATCTGCCAACGCCCCAAACCCTTTATGTCCCCCCTCCCTTATCCCTCTGGTCTGCCTCTCATGCCCTTGTGTCTGCCTACCCCCAGACCCCATGTCTGCTCACTCTCCCATTCTGTCCCCTTCTTCCCTTCCCAGGGAGGTGGCTGCCGCTTCCTACGCTATGACTGCGTGGTGTCAGCCCCGCGGAAGGGGTGGGCGCTCCTGCACCCTGGCCGACTCACCCACTACCATGAGGGGCTGCCCACCACAAGGGGCACTCGCTACATCATGGTGTCCTTTGTTGACCCGTGATACTCAACCACTCTATCAAACCTCTCCTGCCATTGTGCCTTCTGGGGGTCTATCTGGCTCCTCGCTTCCTGAGTGTATGTTCCGTGTGTCTGGGACTGAATGTGTCGCCTCATCCCCTACACACACAAACACACACACAGAGTCCTCTCAGGAAGCTCCTGGAGCCCCCTTGTCCCTCTCCTCAGCTCCCAAGGGTTCATGAGGAGAGGGCTTCTGCGGGGTTCCTCATGTGATAACTTATTGTTTCTCAGCCTCCCTCCCAATAAAGGAGGATTTATAACTCTTGAGTCCATGTGTCGTCTTTCATCTACCTATTGACCCTGTACCCCTCTTGCCACCCAGAGTAGAGGGAGACCTGAAGTTACTCCAAAGAAAAAGAATAGAGAAGAGGGAAAGGCAGAAGCAGAATATGAGAATGGTATGGAAGCCTGGGAGTTTCCCTGGGTCCCATTTCTCACTGCTCTTTATTGCCTGAGATGGGGAAGTGCCTGAGAAGGGCCAAACCAAAAGGACTTCCTTGTCAGGTTCAGATGAAAGCCAGCCCCTTCACTCTTCTCCCTGAGTCTCTCATCACTTGATGGCATCTTTTCCTTTACATGAAGGGTGGCATAGCCCTGAGCTGGGCTCCAGGGATAGTACGCAGGGAAGGAAGACTCCCTGGAGGCACGTGTCCTATAAGGGAAGGCAGGCCAAGGCCTTGCTGCAGATTCGGGGAGCTAAGCTTTGAGTTGGGCGGTATCAGGAAAGAAGCTCTGGTGGGTCATTCTAAGAAAGCTTCCTAGAAGAGAAATGTGAAGCAGCCTTGGAAAAGAGGCGAGACCTCCTGAGAGCAGGTCTTGCTTTCAGCCTCTAGAGGGTCATCAAGCCCTTGCAGAGACCTCTTGAGAAGCCCTGAGGACAACCCTTCAGCTTGGCCTTTCCCAGCCTTGCACCAGCCTACCTTCCTGAATTTAGCTCCCAACTGTTCCCCTACAGAAGCCTTTTAAAAACCAAACAGGCCTGTTCACCTGTCCCAGGACATTTCCTGCCTCCAACACCTCACTTGCCATCCACACCTTATATCCGCCTCCTGCCCAGACTCCCAGGAAAACTTGCCCTATGAAACCTGGGGGAGAGGGGGGTGACTTGAGTGGGTAGGTCACCTTACCATGTGTACTGAGCATCTCTCTAGCCAGACTTTTAAGTCCATCTTACCCTGATCCCCACCACCTTCGTCACATGCCCTATGGACGGAAGTGGACTGAGCAGGGACAGAAGAAAATGCCTCCTTGTAAGTTCCCTGGACAAGGAAGCCTGCATGAGTGGGACAGAAAAGAGTGTGCCAGCCTGAGGGATAGGTCCTGGGCATTGGAAGCTGGCTTATCCTGTCTCCTACAATGGGTCCTTTCATTTACAAACCATCTCCCCTCTGCCAGGCACCAGTTACTGGGGCTGCAGTGAACACATCACCTGACTTCTTGTTGCTTACAGCTTAGGGGAGACCTTGATCAGAAAAATCACCGTGATGGAGGGAAAGTATTTTATGCTAGGAGGGCATGTGATAGAGGCACCTGATGGGATGTGTGTCACTTTCCTAAAAAGGTGACATTCCCTGACCTGGAGAACTCCCACAGGCCTCTGGTCACTGTTGGGGAGGGCTAGGCTGACGGTAAGAACTGGCCCCAGCCCACTTGGAGGGTATGCCCACAGCACAGTGAGCTCTCTCTTGAGGGGCTCACAGATCTTTAGCTTTTCCCACAAAGCCCTTCCCTCCCCCACAGAGTCCTAGGCTGTTCCTTAGGGGCCAGGCCTGGTGACTAAGGGGTTTTCAAGCTATTCTCACTCCTGTCAGGAGCCCTGCCATTCATGGCACACACCACTTTTCCAGACCTGCTAGCTGGCTCCTCACAGAGGTGGAAGGTCCTGACCTCCACAAAGTCCAAACACCATCCTCACCCCCATGCTTCTGGCTACACCCCCGCTTATTTCCATGAGCTCAGGCAGTGGTTAACTCTTCCTTGCTGGGGCTCATCAGAGTCCAGTATGTAAGTCAGCAAAGGGGACAGAAACTGGGAGGAACCAGGGGTCAGGGTCAGTGGGTTGGGCCAAAAAAAGGTGTGCTTAAGAGCCCATGGTGGCCCCTGCGCAACTCCCCTCTACAAAATGCAGACCTCTTCCAGCCGCCTCCGCAGGTGTCTCCAAGTGTTTGCTGTCCTGCAGTGGATCTTCTCCTTCTTGGGGCTGGGTGAGTCCCTAAAGCCCGGGACCTGACCCCCCCTACCACACACACACACACACACACACACACACACACACACACACACCTGGGGCTCTGCTTCCCCATTACCACGAGGGAGGGAGGGAGGGCAGAGATGTCCCAGGTCCTTGAAGGAGTGAGAAGGAATTAGGTGGGACAGAGAGGGGAGTCAAGGGAGAGATCCCGGACTTAAATGCCTGGGTCCTGAGACACCCGCACCCACCCCTATCCTCCAGCCCAGGTGTGCCTGGCTGCTGTGCTCCTTGTATCTCTAAGCCGGGCCTGGATCCTAGTGGTCCTCTACCTAGTCTGGCTCTATGGAGATAGGGAAACGCCGCAAGCAGGAGGCCGCCGATCTGCCTGGGTCCGCAACTTGGCCATCTGGAGACATTTCCGGGACTACTTCCCCATCTCGGTGAGGGCCCCCTGGAACAATGTGCTGGTTTGGGGGTGGGGCTTCAAAATAGATTCTTCCTGTCCTCATCCCCAAAAGTCGAATTCACCATGTGCACCCGCTGCCCACATCCCCCCAGCTCGTTAAAACCGCAGAGTTGGATCCTTCCCACAACTACCTCTTCGGCTTCCATCCTCACGGAGTCCTGGTCATCGGGGCCTTCGGCAACTTCTGCACAGAGGCCACGGGCTTCTCCGGCCTCTTCCCCGGCCTCCAGCCGCACCTGCTCATGCTGCCTTTTTGGTTTCACCTCCCTCTCTTCCGGGACTACATTATGTGTAGTGGTGAGGAGACGGGGGAGCCCGGGCTTCAGGACCCCCAGTCCCTGCCGTCACCTCTGACCAGCCTTCCTCCTGTCTGAGGGGTCCTGGTATTAGCCCCACTTTCCCAGTGCCCACTTCCCTCTCCTCTCTTCTCGGAAGACCCAGGTGTCAGATCCCCCAGGCTCTGCCTTCCCCCCAGGTTTGGTGTCCTCTAGCAAGGCCAGCGCCGCCTATCTGTTGTCCCATCCTGGGGGCGGCCAGGTGGCTGTCCTGGCTGTGGGAGGGCCCCTAGAGTCGCTGGAGGCAAAGCCCGGAGCGCTGAGCTTGCGGATCCGAAATCAGAAGGGATTTGTCAAGTTGGCGCTGGAACACGGGTGAGAAAGCGATCGGTGGACGGAGTCCCCCAGACTGCCCTATGGGGGAAAAGCTCAGCGCGTTCCCGGGCCTGTACTCAGGCGTGCCTCTGCTCCCCCAGGGCCTCCCTGGTGCCTGTCTTCTCTTTTGGGGAGAACGAGCTCTTTCAGCAGTTCCCTAACCCTCCGGGCTCGTGGGTGCGAAGGGTACAGGAAACGCTGCAGCCGCTGCTGAGAGTGGCCCTGCCGTTGTTCCACGGCCGGCTGGGCCTCCCTTTGCCCTTCCGCACGCCCATCCACACCGTCGGTGAGCCTCCGTCAGTACCCCCCC